TCTCACGCGGCCCGCCGAAGCATGTCCAGGACGCTCGGCCGCGGCGGCGCGCCGTCGGGCGCGGCGGGAGGGGGGGGCGCCGCCGCTGCCGGAGGGCCCGTGCGCGTCACGGGTTCTTCACGGTGTGCCTCGGACATATCCCACGCCTGCTCGAACAGCGCTCGATCTTCTTCGGTGTACAGCAGCTGCGCGCGAGCTAGCTGCTCCACGTAGATGGGCGCGGGGCCCTGCTCGCGCAGCTTCTGCTTCTTGAGCACATGCATCAACATGCCGAACGTGGGCGCGAAGCTCCGCCGCGCGCGCTTCCAGCTCGCGCCCTCCCTCTCCTTCTGGCCCAGAAACTTGGCGAGCGGCAGCGGCCGGCCAGCGCCGGAGATGTCCCCGGCGATCGGGGGGTCCCGCGCCCTCTTCGGCGCGCGCACGTTCAGCGTGATCTGCGCGCGATCTTGCTCGAGGAGGCGCCGGACGCGCGCCAGCGTCTCCTCCTGGACCGCCCGCCGCTCGGTCAGCGTAGAGAACGCGCGCGCCAAGTCCGCCAGCGCGACGCTGTCGAGTGAAGCTTCAACTGCTTCTCCGAAAGCTCGACGCGGGTCTTCAGGTGCTCGCGCGGCCAACTCTTCTTGAAAGCCACGGATCCTGCACGCATCATCGATGATGGTCAAAACACCGCCTAAATACCTAACGACGAGCTCCGCCATCTGCCGACGTAAACGCGCCGCCTGCGCCCCAGGCAGGAGCAGAATGATCTCGACGACGCCCCGGACATCACAAAGCAAAGTGTTCCTCTGGCGTGCGCCAGCAAACTTATAGAGGATACAATTTCCATCGATCCCTGGATATTGCGCCACCAGACGCCCACATTGCACTGCCGCGCACCGACCCCCTTGACCGGTTATTGCCGAGACCACATCGATGACTGACACGCGAGCGGCGCCATCCTCCTCAGTTTTCCGGATTTGTTTCACTTCCCTCCCCAAGAGAGCCCCGAGTTGCTGCTGGATTCCCGCCATCTTGAGCCACAGCTGCGCTGTCATGCAAGCAAATACGAAGTACTCGCACCCCAATATGTCCAACGGTTTCCCCTTCCTGTCGTGTTTCCAGAATCAACAAATGGTTGCCTCTGCGGGGAGTGAGAGCATTTTCCCCCTCCCTGTCGTGTTTCCAGAGTCAACAACTTGTTGCCTCTGCGGGGAGTAAAAGCATTTCCCCCCTCCCTGCCGTGTTTCCAGGGTCAACAAATTGTTGCCTCTGCGGGGAGTGAAAGCATTTCCCCCCTCCCTGCCGTGTTTCCAGAATCAACCAGCGTCGACTGAAGACGATCTTTGCGTACTTGCAGGCAAGCGGGGGTCTGCCCGCAGGGAAGTGTGGTGGTGCTACTCGGTTCGAGCGTTTGCGCCGAGACGGGGAACCCCTTCGCGTGTACCCCGCGGTAGGCAGGGCAGTGTTGTGGAACAGTTATGACGACGGCACGCGCGACCAGCGAACGCAGCATGGTGGAGAGAAGGTGACCTGCCCCAACGTGGTGAAAATAGGTCTCAATGCATGGTTCCATGGGGAGAAGCCACGACAAACACCTGGGAAGAGTCGCACACTGGGTCTACGCGAAGCGGAGGGAGCAAGGCGCTCCGCACCTTGCGGTGCACTCGCGAGGCAGGAAGTAAAGACATGCTCTGGTTCCTCCTCCTGCTGATGGCCGTCATCGCCATGTGCTCCTGGTTCAGCCCTGGCTCTAATCTAAACCTCTCGGCGTGGCGGGCCCTTGACAGTACCGTGGCGGCGCTGAGCCAAGGCGGCGGAGACGATGGCGGCGAAGACGATGACGCGCCGCGCCACCCAACGCCTGAGCGGTCGCCACCTCGTGCTGTCACGGGGTACCAGACGCCTAGCGTGCCCGTCAAAAGGAAGCGCGTAACACCTTTTATCGCAAAGAAGGTCGGGGCGCTGCACTCGTGGCGCTGCGAGGCTCGCGGCGATTTACTGACGGAAGATTTTGAGGTGGACCACCATCAGAGTCTACAAAACGGGGGCAGCGACGATATAGCTAATCTGAGACCCTTACACAAGCGCTGTCATTTACTCAAAATAGCCTTGAGCAGCGGCGGTCGTGAAGTCCCTTACGGTTACGACCGGTCGGCAAAAATGTTCAAGCGAATGTTCAAAGGACAATCGCTCGAGCATGGCGTCCGCAAGCGAGGCCACATCCTGCTATTTTGTTGCGAACTTAGGTAACCTCGATTCAGCAGTCGCTGAGCGACTCGAGAAATGGGCGGTGGCGTCGCGTGTCGAACACGCACTGTGCCGACACGAGGACGACTCCGTAGCCCTGTACGCGTCGAAGAGCTCGGCGAAGACGGCGCGGCAGTATCAATCACTCCTGAGGACACTGGCCTCGCACTGGAAGATGTCGTTTGGAAAACTAGATCGCGGATGGCTTACTCTTCTTACGGAGACCGAGTACAGGGCTGCCGTCGCGGGCGCGACCAACCCCAAAGCCTGTGCTGCCAATGACCATAGCGAAGTCGCTGTGGCCAGCGAATGCACGGCACCTCCCCTGCACGGTCTGGGCGAAGCCAGCGCGCCAGTTGCACCAAGGCTGGCAGAGCCAGGGGCCGGCCACGTAATACTCCTCTCGCTGAGCGATGGCTTTGACGAACACGCGCGGGCCGCCTACGAGCGACTGTTCGCGGATCGCCATGCCGTGTGTGCAGCGTAAGGAAAACTGATGCAGGCCAACCCCTGGGCCGACCTCGTAACCACGACGCCCAGGAATCAGGCGATGCGCTACGCGCCCTCCTCGCCGCGTGCGTCGCCTCTGCGGTCGTTGCCGCAGGCGCCTCGGGCAAACCCCGGCAGCGCCCCTGTGCATACGGGCGGCGACGCTCAGCAGACGCGTGTTCCCACGCACAGCGACCGCGCGCGCACTGACTCTACCCGGAACGATTCTACGCGGAGCGAGCACACGAGCAGCCACCAGATGCGAAGTGCCACGCCGAGACCCACCAGCGTGGTCCCTGCTACCCACGAGGTGACCAGTCGACAGCAAACGACAACCCTGGGAGAAGACCAAGGCTCGCGCTTGGCGCGAACACACCATGCACACGTCGCCAAGCCACACGCGTCGAGGAGCCCTGCAAGGGAGCCCCGCGCTTCTTCAGACCAGCAGTTGGCAAACACGCGCTCAGCAAGCCAGAGCGAGACGAGGCCTTCTCACCAGCCGCACTGCGCGGCTGTCCCGCGCAAAGGCAAGACGGCGCATATCTTCTGCGGCAACAATATCTTATCGCCGAAGCTCCGCCAGAATGGCGGAGATATGGTGATCGGGAGCCCTTCTGCCTGTTTTAAGAAAGGTTTTGGTGCCGGGCTCTATCGAGAGATTGCCCCGGCACATCTCGAAGATTTCCTGGCCGACAACTCCGGCCCTTACAAAAGATACATCGAGCAGCCCCTCTACTACGGCGACGGTCCAGTCCCAGCGGGGGAGATTCGCGCGACGCTTTCGCAGTGTCGGTCGCGCGGTTTCGGGGTTGGCTCTGTGCAGCGCGCCAAGAAGATCTTGAAGGAACGTAAGCATGGAATCAGTAAAGCATGACGACGAGCAAGTCCTTCAGAGCGATGCTCCCGTGCCTTTCTGATGAAGAGGCGCGGCGGCTCCAGGCGTGGAGCGCGGAAAACTGCGCTGCGGCCACAGTGTTTCGCGAGTCGGAGTGCGTCGCATGGCTTGCTTCGAAAGAGCGCGCGCGAAGCCGCGAGGCATTATTGCGGTCTGTCCGCGGGGTGCTGAAGCGTTTGGCCATAAATGTTACCAGGCTGCGCGGTCGAAGGCTCGTCCTCGCTGAGGACAGCATCGCGCGGTCCGAAGCAGCCAGGCGTGCGACTGCGCAGCCGACGCCGACAGCGCCTGCCGCGCCGCCGCCATGCCATGCGGGTGAAGGCGACAACGAGAGAATTATCGCGTTGAGAGGCGGGCCTCGGCATAGCCATGCGCGAGCGGTGCAGGTGCTCAAAGAAGAATGACAGTAGCTGCAAGTTTGCGGCACCACCGTGACAGGAAACTGGCGTTCTCTCTGGCCCACAGGAAATTGTCCGTAGCCCAGAACAGGAACGGGCGTGCGACGAGCTAGAGCTTCTCTACCCGACGGGTGCGTGCAGCGACCCTGGAAACTTCCTCGCTCCCATCCTGGCAATGGCATGGCTTGGCCGCTCAGACCACCCGCAGCAAGAGCATAAGCTTCTTCGCCGAGCACGCCAACAGAGCTTCCGGTAACCTCAAGTGACCGCGTCGCTCTGGCAACTTTTCTGCGATGGATTGCAGAGAGCTTGTGAACACATGCACAGGCGATCGGCGATATCCTGTGGAATCTTTTCAACAGCGCGCTCTGGCAGACTTTTCGCCACGCACGCCCGCAGTGCTTCAGGTATTCTCAAGACGCGCAGTCGGCCCGGCAATTATTCTGCGACCGGCTGCAATGTTGCTGAGCTGCTCTGAAATACACACGCTCGCGATGCGCCCTGATCGAATTTTCGCCAAGCACGCCCGCGCGGCTTCGGGTATTCTCAAGCCGCGCAGTCGGCCCGACAACATTATTGCGACTGATTGCAGAGCAGCTGAACAATGCACGCGCTCCCGACGCGCCCTGGTCGAATTTTCGCCAAGCACGCCCGCGGCGCTTCAGGTATTCTCAAGACGCGAAGGCGGCCTGGCAACTTTTCTGCGACTGGCAGCCAAGCTGCTGTAAAATACACACCCCCACGACGTCCACAGCGAGCTCTGTCAATTTTCGCCTGCGTGTTTGCTGCCATGGCATCTTCTCCGTCGCGGCGTCACCTGGTCCCGTTTTCTTCGGCCGCAGCAGCGCAGGGTAGCAGCTAATTGGTTGAGGCCGCTCAAATTTCCAGGATGCGCTGCACCCACCCGTCGGATAGGGCAGCTAGAGCTGCCTTCAGACGAGCTTCCCTGTGCGGTTTGTGCCAATTTCCTGATCCCCACGACGCCAATTTCCTTACGGTTTGCGCTTCTGGGTCTGCAGTGGCGTACGTTTACGAACCTCCTCCCAGATACGCTCCGTCGTCTCCGCGCGCGTCTCGCGCTGCTGGTGCGGGTGCGTCGCTTTGTCCTCCTTCCGTGGCGCGGGAGAGCGCTCGGGCGAGTGCAGAGCATGGCTGGAGGGCGGTCTCGAGTGCTTCCTGCGCTCCCCCTTGCTCGCGCCTGCGCTGCCGCTCCGCTTCTCCTTCATACGATGGGCCCTCACCGAGCGGGATCTGGCGTACTGTTCGAGATGTACCTGAGCGACATGGGCTCGCAGACCATTGCCATGCAGGATTTTCCCGCAATGACGGCATTGGCTCTTCAGGAACTCGCGCGGCTTCCTGTCTGGATTTTTGGCGCAGCGGTGCCTCTCATGCTCTTTAGCTCCGCGACGCGTGAAACGTCGACGGCAGAATTTGCACTTGGTATCTTTGGGTGACGGTGCTTTCATTTTCCGATGAGCGGAGATTAGGGGCTTACACACAGGTGCGCGCCACTCATGGGAATCTCGCTAACGCCGGGATGGTGTGGATGATCTGGACGAGCCAAAGGGGCTGGGTCAGTGGAGCGCCACGATGCGGATGTCCTCGTCAACCGAGTCGTCTATGCGGGATGCTGCTGGCGTGTCGCGTGCAGCATTGCGCTGACCGCCGTCGCTCGCACAGATGCTCAAGGCCTCGCGCGGTGTGAGCAGTGAACACCAACGCCCCCTTAGCGGCACGTCGATGCAGAGGCGGCGCAGAGCAGTACGAACGGTGCGCGAGAAACTTGCGGAAGTGCGAAGCTCTGCCTTGAGGCCCACGAACACGGCACTGCCCCGGTCGTCACGGAAAACGATCGACTGGGCGCAGTGAAGCTCGGCCCAGCGGCGCAGGTTAGTCAGCTGGTCGTCGCGGAGCATGGGGAGTGTGCAGCGGAACGCCTTGGACGCGTGCATGCTCGACGTTTTACTGGGGGAATGATGTCGACGTAGCAAGACATGTTGCAGGTGCCCAGCGACCCCATGTCGTATGCAGTTGATGCAAACTCGCTACCCTGAGCAAGCCGCGGTCGCCCATGCTTGAGGCGCGGGGCATGTCTCACCCACATTGCGAACCATTGAACGTATTGCTGCGGCAGATTGCCTTGGGCCCCAATCAGGCCTGAAGTAAATAGCGCGCCTGTAAGGCACACGCAAGCCATGAGAGGCCACCTCGCTGCCGTCGCTGTGGGATCCGCGCGGACCGAGCTCTCCGCAAACATACGCCTGATGACGGGGTTCTTCGAGCCAGGAGTGCCTGCTGACGACGACGCGTGCGCACGAATGATGCGCTCTCTTCCCGAATGCGGGCTAGGGGAAATTCGCCTTGATATATCGACGGAGTTCTGTGTCGAGCTGTCCCTCCTCGCCGCTGGTGTCGCGCGAGACTATGACGAGAACAGATTGGACGACCCAGACGTTGTCCATGCATTCCCCGCGGGCGACGCGCATGGCGAGGACGAGAAAGCACTCAGAGCAGACTTCTATGGAAAAGTTGGGAAAGTCATCAGGGAGGTGGGCTCGATACGATGCCGCGCCACCCTGGACGGCTTCCGACAGTTTATTCGCGATGTGCGCTCCGCGGCCCGCGCTTTGCGAGACTCTGGTCTGTGCCCGCGGTGCCCAGAGCGAACAACGGCTCGGATGCGCCTGCCGCGTGCATCCTACTGCGGCGAGTGCTGCTTCGCAGTGGCAATACTCGGCGATAGGCAATGATCAGTCTGGTACAGGGAGCCCATCGGTTGGGATAGCCTTCAGGCCCAGCTCTCCCATATATTCCCCCCGTCAGCGTTCGTGGCGAGGAGCATTTGCGCCTGGCCTGAAGGAATAACCGCACCGGGTGCTCCTCGCAGCTCGGCATCAAGGAGAACGCACGCGTCTGGGCAAGCCACCTTCGGCCACTTGCCCAGTGAGGCTGGCGACTTGCTGCGGTTCGTCCTCAATCGGGGATTGCCCGCAGCAGCGGCGCACCATGTGTTGAGCTGCGTGGCGTGATTGGGGTTATTGTTGACGAGGCACGCCCGTTCAGACTGAAACACATATCGGCGGATTTATAAATGGCAAGGACAGTGCGGTTAAGTGACCCGTCTTGGTCCACAGCCGACGACTACGTCTTGCAACGTCTGACGGATCGAGTGCAAGTTCTCATCTCGAGCCATTGCAATGGGATGCATATCGAAGATGTGAGCAGCTTCCTGGACCAGCACGATCCGAAAATACGAACGGATCCGCACCACCACGCGTATCTGCTGTACGGCCCCAGAGTAGTATTCGCCGAGGATGGGCAGTTGAAGGTCGAGGTCCGCGGCCTGGTCTACGAGCCCATGGCGGCGCTCGTGGGAAACACGCTCGTATTGGAGCTCGGCGACGATGGCGGTCGAGATACTTTTGCGGCGCCCAATATAGGGGCGCATTGGATGCGGCCCCAACAGAAAGGCCACGCGCCTTCCAATGCAAGCGACCGAGCAGGCAGTGGCGAGTGGCTTGGCGCCCGGCAGTGCACCGGGCGCGCTCGCCCTCGTCGAAAACGCCCGGCGCGACGCAGTCAGCCTTTGGCTGTTAAAGTGGCAGCTCTGGAAGGCCGGGCAGGAGAAGTTCTACAAGACGAGCAGGGAATTCAAAGCGATCGATAGGTTGTGCTGGTGGGTGCCAAATACGGTCACTCGCTGATGTGTCCGCGTGCAGATTCGCCGGAACAAACACGGCGATGCCTTATTTCGCAGGGCGTACGGGACGCTTCCAGGTCCGATGGACGACTGGGAGCGGAGCAGGATCAAGCAATTCAACGTGAGCGAGCTGTTGCTGCTGGACGAAGTGCATGCTGGTGCGAAGGCATTCATACAGAGCGCTGGTTCGCTACCTCTCCTGGATCTAAGACGGCTCCGAGCCGAGGCCAAGATGTGGGATACCAATTTCACCAGGGCTAGGGAGTTGATCGTTCGATGCTCGCCGTATTGTCAAGGCTTTCTTTGGTTATTCTACGACCAGAAAATGCCGCATTGTGTCGCCCTGCAGATAATAACATTCCGGGAGGAAGCTTGACGGCAGAGTCGTGCGGCAGTCGCACTTGTGCAGTGGTCGCCCCACCCAGAAATAAATGGAGCCATGGAGGGGGGCGAGGCAGTCGGCGCCGTTTGTGCGCAGCAAAGCAGCATAGAGTCACGGCCCCGCGGTCGACCCCCTGCGGGGTACGTATGGACCGGCTTCTGCTATGTGCACCTTACGTCGGGTGAGCCGCGTTGCCAAGCGGACGCCCGTGACCGTTTCGTGCAGCGCAGGAGAAGGCACGACCGCGCACGGTATTGGGACCCGAAGAAGAATGTACGCAAGCAAAGGCTGGCGCGGTCTGCGCGTAAGAGCGGACGACTGCCCAAACCAATCCAAGCCACCTTGGAAGAACTGATGGCTGGAGGACCCGCGCCTGGCCACACCACCTGGATCCCCGAGCACGCAGGCCCAGCGCATGCATCGCCACTTGCTGACCTAGCATAAGACCCGCTGCGGCCGACTGTCATTCAGCACTGGCCTGCGCCCACACGTTCAGCACCTCCACGGTGTCGTCGATGCCACAATAAAGATTCCTAGGATTATCTAGTGGAGAATCATGCCCAAGCGCGCTCGTGTCGATGAGGCAGACGGTGCGCCCGAGGCGCTGTCGCGTGCCACCAAGGCTGCAATCAACAAGCACGGCTGGGACGAATTGCGGCTCGCGTATCGGACGCGGCGGCTGATTTTCATGGAAGGTGTCGGGGCCAAGGCGACGGCAGAGATTACACTGTTCCTTCAAGCCTCTGCTGCCGAGAGGAGCCTCCGGCAACGTTTTATGGACCTTGTGGGGCCACATTTAAACTCCGATTGGATGAAGCGCCTGGCTAGTTGGAGCAACAGCGGCATTGTGAACGATAGCCTGGTGAAGCAAATGCAAACGATCTGCACATTCCCGCAGTACGCAAACACAGCGCTGCTCCGGGCGTATATATAAGCGCGGTCAGCAAGAGAGTCCGCGAGTACGAAGAGACTGGCCAGGGGCCGTCCTGGCCCATCTTCGCAATCGATGAGGCGCGTGCGAGGCCCTACGATTACCTCTGCAAGCAATGGGGTCTTTCCTTGAGAATGACAGACATGATCGCCACAGCAGAACAATGGCGGGGGGCACAGAGCAACGCACGCTTACGCGCATACCTTGAAGAGGGTATAGTTCATCTGATCCAGAAGGACGGACACACTGCTTGCGGGCGAGAACATCTCTTGCAATGGTGCATGAGGATGAAGCAGCGGGAGCATTGCCCTAAAACCGCTCTTTCAAACACCCTCGCGGATATGCTGCAAGAGGACAAGGTCGCCATCGGTCTAAGTTGGAGGGTGAAAGTGGGGGTCGGGCGCAGGGTCCCGGCAATGGTGTTTTTTAAGGCCATTAATGGGCGATGCATCCTCGATTGCTGTGTTCGGCGGGGGGACTAATTGAAGCCCCCGCCTGCACCTGCGCGCGAGACTCGAGGGGGAAGGAAGCAAGGGGGCGAGGGGCTCGGGAAAGGCGACGAAGGCAACGTGCGCTAAGGGCGCAAAAAGAAAAGGCTGGAACGCACGAAAGCGGTCAGGTGAGTGTCGAAATCTGCCCAGCCAATCTGACATTCGGAACACTGCGCCTCAGTTTTGGGGATCTTGAAGGCCAGGGCAAAATGTGAATTCACATTGTGGGGAAAAGCAAAATGTGAATTCACATTTTGGAAAAAAAGGGAAATGTGAATTCACATTTTGGGAAAAAGGAAAATGTGAATTCACATTTTGGAATTTTGTGTAGGAGTCTTTATGAAGGGGCCAGAATGTGAATTCACAGTTTGGGAAAAAAGAAAATGTGAATTCACATTTTGGGAAAAAGGAAAATGTGAATTCACATTTTGGGAGAATCGCGGGGCCCATTCCAAATCTGTCTTGAGGGTCGAGAAGTCATCGTTTGGGAACACGCGCGATCATCAACCGCACAATCAAGGCACACTTGCACTCCACTTCGCCGACCCACACGCAATATGCAAGAACGCCCGCACGCATGAACGATAATGGATGGACGGCGCGTGTGCCCGCGCGGGCAACGCGCGGGCACGAATGACTGGCCATCAATGACCGCCAGCATCGGATGCCAATCGTACCCGATCACATACATGAGCGATACATTGAGCATACATGGGCCATTCAGCCCCCATTGAAGACCCCCTGTTGCAGACCCCCTCTTTCACCCTCCAACTAAGGGGTGCTGGGGGAGCGTCGCAGCCCAATGCTCCACCCCAAGCACTCGCCAACGCAAAGGTGTATGCGCAAGAGTGCGCCGTCGCGAACGCTGTCGCTGAACTCATGAGCGAGCGCCCATACCACGAGTTTGGTGGCCGCGCAGAGACCATGCGTGCCACGCTGGACAAAAGCTTCGCCGCCGCCGGACGCTGCTCGCCAGACGACGCGCAGTGGGCTGCGATTCGCGGCCTGTTCAACAGCACGCTCGCCAAGATCTAGGTCGGTGGCCAGCACGGTAACCTCCAGATCTGAGCAAGTTAAAAGAAAAGAGAAAGCGTGATCCACCGCCGCTTTACTGTGGAAAATTGCCAACCTCTTCCTCCGGAACCCGGGCGTCTCCCCCCCCCCCTCCGAAAATCCCCCCCCCCTGCCGGACCCCCCCCCCCCCCCCCTCCCTCCCGGCAACCCCCCCCCCCCCCCTAACCCCCCCCCCCCTCCCCCTCGAAAACCGGGGGGGGTCACTACCGGTTCGAACCCCTCCCCCCCCCCCCTCCGGATCCGGAAAACCGGGAGGGGTCACTGCCGGTTGGACCCCCCCCCCCCCCGAAAACCGAAAACCGGAGGGGGGTCACTACCGGTTCGACCCCCCCCCCCCACGCACCGCCAGCAAACGACTCCCGGTCCCTACCACC